TTTTTTTGGGTGTAAAATATATTTATAAAATAAAATGTTATAAAATATTCATATAGTGCAAAATTTGTAAATATTATATCCAATTAAATATTGTGGTACTAAAGTTATTCAATAAACGAGTAAATATTCACTTATCACTCAAAACCCTAATTGAGGTTTGTATATTAACCTGTTTATATTTATTGTAATTATAAATATGTTAATAAATATATGTTCATAAAATCACATAATTCATAGCGGAAGTACGAGAATATAATATTGGTTTTAAAAATGTTAATGTTACTTTAACCCAATGAATTAAGCAACATAAGTTATTCAAAAGTATTATACAACTATTAAATTATCAATCAATTTATAATTTATTTAAGTTTATTCTATATTTTTTTTTTCGAAATGTTAGAAAACTTAAAAATACTAATTAATTATACTCAAAAAATACAAAAAATAAAAATTACAGCACGCCTATTTTAAACTAATCGATTTAGTTAATTTTGATAATTTAGAAATCACTTATGATAGAAACTTGATTAGAAACAACTGTTTATTAATATAAAACTACACTATTTTTAAAATATAATTAATACTAAAATATTTTTTATACAAAAAAATCAAAAAAAAAGATTCTGAGTATTATATTACTGAGGGAAATAATATGATTCTAACTTTTTCATTGTTTTTCATATGTTATTCTTCAAGTATAAGAAATAAAAATAAAACTCACTTTAAATATTGTGGGTTTAATGTTTATCATACTACAAATATCGATATGATATAATATGATTTTTAAATCAATTTTTTCTTGTAGCTTGAAGTTGAAGTGTTATAGTAACTAAATGACAAATATTATACTAATATTAAAGTGTTTGCGTTTAGGAAAATAGTCAAACATAAAATTTTGAAAGTAAATTGATTCAAGTTATTGATTTCGCTAGTTTTATTTACTATAGTTTTGTTATTAGTATTACAATTTTCAACTATTAGAACAAATTACGAAGTAAAATGCGTAGGAAATATGCTTCCGCTACTTATGTCATTAACAATGAGAAGGTCGACCGCGAAGAAGGTCAAATGTGGTAAGTAATTGCCTCCGTTATATACTTTAATAGTAAGATTTGACCAATTTAATAATTTTTGGTTGGATATTGATAAATTGTCTAAAAAAAAAAGATTTTTATATCATTAAATATTTGTAATTTTGTGTCTAGTTTTTTTTAAAAAAAAAACACTAACAAGGCCGACATTACTCACCATTAGAATGATAACTGTCTAGCAATTAGATTGATTATTACAAAATAAATCTTCAGCACAACTGAATAATGTAATAATGGTAATATTTATATTTTTTCCAGGAATTCCTAAAGGATCACTAAAAATATGTTGAAAAAAAGTTACAATCTAGTCATATGAAGCAGGAAAATTTAATTGTATACATCAATAAATCATTTTATTTCTCAATGTAAATACATTTTTTTATCAAACAAAACTAAAAGTAATAAAACTAAAACTAATAACACAAAATTTTAAGAAATCTATTATAAGTATACAATAAATGTCTATACTAATCCGGGTTTATATTCTATGATACATCGTAACGACGCATTCCAACTTTTCACTACGATTGGCAGAAATTAATGCCAGCCAGCATCAATCATTCTATATTATATCCAAAATATAATTTCAATTCCAATGAATCGCTACAACATCCTATTTACACGCAACGATAAATCAAAATAATCCGATCGTTACGATAAATTGATACCATTTATCGTAACGTGTAAACCAATATTAAAATATATACAAAAATTTGCAACAATTTTTATTCAGTTTCATATTTTATACCCTACATAACTTACTAATTAACACTTAACTGATAACAAAAATTTAACATTATAATATCTTTACACTCGCCTAGATCATATAACTCATTTATACATATTTTATTCATAGGTATATTTGAAAATACCTAGTGTATCAGATTAGGATTAATCAAGTCGGATAAAGTTAGTGCTCGATGTGACAAAACTTAAACTTGGATCTCTATCCAATCTTACCTCTATCTGTTGTACAAAGTATATCAGAAGAATGCTAGTTAGTCACTAATAATAAGAATATTGTTAGTTCACATTGATCAGTGATTAATTAATTATAATATTAATACAAGTATAAATTCAATACTCACAAATCCTTGAACCAATACTGTTTAATTTTTATTTCTTTTTTAAAAAGTTAATTCTATAATATCATTGAGAGTTAACTTTTAAATTTGATTTTACTTAATTGTGTATTCAAATAGGTTTATTGTATCGTATTGATTATTATAATTTACAAATATTTAATACGCAAATTCTTTAATTTAAAACTCATAGTTTTGAAATTAAAAAGTATTGGAATTTTCACTTGTTAGTCCTCGCTAAAAATTTTATAATATGAAAATATTATATTTCTAAAGTTTTATTCAGAAAAATATATTGGCTGGGCCATTGGGCCTAATACGGCGAAATATTTTGTCTATTCTATTATCTCTAATTAAGAATTCAGAAAAATATATTTATTTTTTATTATATATATTAAAACTCATTTGAAATACACTCCCTATTTTACTTACCTACCGACGGTATAAATATATTTGATAATTTCTGATCTAATATTTTTACATTTCATATCCTCTCTTTAAGTTTCACAAATATACTAAAAATAGTGTCAAACATGGATTAAATTATGTAGATGTACACATAATACAAATTGCTAATATAAATATCTACAAATTATCATTACTTGTTTCTTTTTTTAATTTTTTATTTTTTTTTTTATTGAAATTTCAATCATAAACTATTACATCTAGACAATTAATATCAAATATGTATTTAATGTGCTCAAAGCAAATAACACAGATAAAACATAATTTTCTTTGTGCACCTGTAGGGTGAACAGTGTTGTGTATTTATTACATTATTATGCAACAGCGAAATAGACAGTTCGTTTGATGTAATACCTACACCAGTGACGTTTTATGCGGAATTATAATCACACGGATAGATCCAGTCACTTAACATTTATTTTTTACTTTATTATGAAGATTTCATTTTCAACTGTACTTAAAATTATCAATTCAATATTATTACATTGATTAATTTACATTGTCCTAATTTTCTACATCAATTAACTTTCCAAACTTCTCTAATAAAAACATATAATCTTTTTTATTTAAAAACTCAACCTACAAATTATGCTACCAACACTTCAGTATCTAGAATTATGTTGATTGTAAATACCTATAAGATTGATCCTTTCTATTTTACCACCTTTAATCATTTTAAAAATGATGTATCTATTAATCTAGTTTTACATATTAATTAATATTAATATGTCCTATATTATATTTTATATTGTTAAATAATAATTTTTATTTTACTCTTTTAGTTTGTATATAATTGTTTTAATATTGTTCACGAATGTTATTATCGCTAGATTTATACCTAAATATATAACTGGGTCCAAACCCGTTTGATATTCAAATAAGTAAATAAATCATGCGATTATACACCATATGGCTTAATATTTTTGTGATTATAATAAATTATTTGGTGCAAATATAACAAATAACTCCTCGCTCCTTAATCAAGGAAAAAAATAAATTGATCATTTAATTTATTTATTATTATATAACGGGCACAAGGCCCAAAAGTGAAAATACATTTTACATACATTAAATAAACCAATATATGGCAACAGAAAATAATAAAATATCAGTTGATTTAACTTAAATAATACAACATTATGATGGCATACAGTAATGAATAATTAACAGAATACATATTAAATATAATGTTACAGTCTAAATAAGGTAGGGTGCTCATTGGCCAAATGAATCATTCGATCAATTTGATTGAAGAAATTACAAAAGGATAACATGATCTAGAAAACCGAGGTGGAACTCTAAAGTTAACTTGGGAGAGTAAGGAGGGAGCATCAACATAACCATTAATTAGCTTACTCAAAAACACTCGCTGTCATACGTCTATCAACCAAGGAACTCAGTCCAAGTGTATTAGATACAGGAAAGTAATCATGTTTAATATGCTCTATTCCTAAAATATTGGCAGCATATAATAAGAAACGCCTCTGGACCATCTGAAAACCATCTGTATTAATATTGCTTCATGGCAGGATGAGAATTATTCTTTTTATTGGCAACAGTGAGTTTTTTTTTTTTTTTAATATAGTAAGAGAATCACTGATTTAGATTATACCGTTTACACGATTCGATATTTTTATCATAGTAACTCTACTAAACCTAACCAACATATGGTTTTATCATTCACTCGTTTATAGTCTCATTCATAGCGTATGTTAATATGGACGCATCAAAATGGATTTGAATACCTTTATAACAATACTCGTATATTGATACTGCAAGTATCGCAAACAGAACGAATTTTAAATCGTAAGTTCTGGATACATCCCATCATAAAACAAAGAGTATGTTGGGCTCATTCAATACACATGCCAATTACAACAGGACGAAATTAATTTTTTTCTAATATCGATATCTAATACTTTTGATGAACTGTAGATAAGAATAGAAATAAGTCTAAGAAACAAGACAAAAATATGAAAATAAGAAACAGACCAGAAGAAAAATTAGCTATCTGTTTATGGTAAAATACCTATACAGTTTTATTTTTTGTATTTATTTCAAATTGAATGAAAATTATAACTTTTAATAGACAATAAAAACGCCACTTATTATTAATACCATGAAAGCAATTTATACTTTTACTTAACTGTTTAATATATATAATTATAAATTAAATCAACAAAATCATATTCTTCAGACTCGTAGTTGACATGATTGAAACTGGTAGTGAAATTATACTCTCTGGAATAGCTATTGGTAGGTCTATGGTTGTATTCTGAAAAGGTTGTTGAGGTAGTTGAGAGTAATATCTATAATTTGGCCACGGATTATGTTGCATATGAGTTCGTGTTAATAATTTATGTGACTACCACGATATATATACTTCGAGGGTTTTTTTAATATTTTGTAACAAGAAAATAACGCTAACTTGAAATTCTGATCCTCATGAAATGATGACATGCTTGATAGAAGACCTTTGAAAAATTATAAATTATGATTTTCTTGGTTTCCAGGTGTATTTATTTTGTTATTAATAAATATTAACAATTATTCATCCAATTTTTATGTCGAATCTGACTTGCGCTGCTTCTGTATAGTAGAAATACTTGGTTGATTAACTGGTGATTTTTGGTGATTTATGATACGTTTTTTTTTCATTATCATCAATTTGGGTCGGTTTTATGTTTTTGTCAATTATACAACCATCAGTATTTTTTTGAGCAGTTGTAGAACATGTTATTATTTTCTTTTTTTTCAAACACATGTTATCATGATACAAATAAAGTTTTGATCGCTTAACAGAAAATCCAGATTTATTTTTTTGCGTATTTTTGCTTTTCAATAAATTTAATCCAAAAATGTATTGTTTACGTCCATTGTTTCAAAACGATTTTACCTGATAAAAATTATTAAAATTAAAATTAAATTTGTATACATGTATACAAAGCCAAGCAAATTAATGATATTTTTTATTTCGGTTAAGTTAATCAATTTTATTTGTCAATTATTTCAACAAAGTGTTTGAGTATATCAATTAAGTTAAAAATTAGGAAAACAAATTTTTTCTTTTAAGTATTTAAAGTCTAAAAATAGTAAAAATTAACGGGTTTATTAAGTGTTGAAAATACAATGGATAGGATATATAATGAAACGTAATACAGATGCAGTGACCAAAATGTTACTTCATTGGAAATCAGAAAAAATAAGACTACTGGGTCATTCTCCAAAGAGATGGATGGATGTTGTAGAAAAAGATTTGGAAAACCTGGGAGTGCAGATTTGGAAGGAGGTAATATAAGATGGAGATAAGTGGAACAATTTGAAGATTGTGGTGAAAACTTTTAAAGATTTATGAAGACCAAAAGAAAAATAACGTAATTAGCATTTGGATATTCATTTAAAATTATAATTGTTTATAATTTTGCTACACAGAAAGATGGTTTTGATTTTAAATATACCCTAATAAAATCAGAAATAAATTATTTTCCTAATATATTAAACGCACAGTCAATAAGAGGAGGTAGTTCTACAAATTCAATCAAGGTAACATTTGCTGATTATTTTGTCTCTAAAATTGGATCAGTTCCTTGGTATGATAAAACTATATATATATACAAGTCATCTACCAATACTTATTTTTAAATAATAATTATTAACATTGTTATAATTAATATGTCTATAGTATTATTAATTATTATTATATTATCAAAAAATGCTCTAATGAAAAAAAAAATAAAATATTGTAAGCTTAACAAAATGTTGTCTTTCTTTTTGTTACAATCCTGGAAAATTTTTTTTTAAAATAGTGTTGAC